AAATGTTGTAAATATCAATATGTACTTGTTATAGTTTGTATGTTTTCAAGTTGGATTGAAGCCTATCCTGTGACAAGGGCCGATACTAAAGCTGTCACTAAAATCCTTTTGAAGGACCTTATCCCGCAATTTGGAATCCCACTTACCATCAATAGTGACAGGGGATCTCACTTTACTGGGCAAATTATACAAGAAATATGTAAAGCCCTGCAGATTCAACAGAACTTTCACTGCCCTTATCACCCACAGTCAGCAGGTACTGTAGAGAGACAAAACGAGATACTGAAAAATAAACTAGCAAAAATCTGTGCTGAGACTGGTTTAAAATGGCCAGACGCTCTACCATTAGCATTAATGAGCATGAGATCCACCCCCAATCGGAAGACTGGACTCAGCCCACATGAAGTCCTGATGGAGAGACCTATGCGACTTCCATCCTCCCCACTCTTACCACCTTCTCAGATTAACATCCATTTAGCTGATGATCTTGTATTACAATATTGTCAAGCATTAATGAAATGTGTTAAGGCCTTTAATTTACAGGTCCCAGACAGCCTGAAGAAGCCTGCCATTCCTTACAGCCAGGAAATTGGGTTCATGTAAAAATCCACCAAAGAAAATCAGCTTTACAACCTCACTGGAAAGGTCCGTTCCAAGTTCTTCTCACCACTAACACTGCAGTAAAGTGTTAGGAACTATCTACTTGGATCCACGCATCGCACTGCAAAAAGACTGTTCCTCCTGATGAAACCAAGGATTAAAAATTAAGACTCCAAGAAAAGAGCCCATTAATAGTCGAACATGGAGTCCCTCCTATTGACTATTTGTATTGGACTATTTGTATTGGCTTATGGGAATGTGTTTTGTCTTTAATTAACCAAATTAGGATAGACTTAAATGTCTCTTGTTGTTGAATATGTAGTCATGTCCCTATCCATTCTACTGGAGGAATACCCATGATACCAGTACCCTTGAATGCGACCCAAATGTCAGCTCCTTATTATTCACCCTTTCATGAGAACGAAACTTGGCAAGATATAAATTGTTACCGAGCTGACTATGTACGACTAGCGTATACAACCCCTGGAAAGTTTTGTTGGACCTGTAATGGATCTCATGTTGCAGTAGGAGCCAGTAAGTGTGAAGTAGAATTTAAGGTAGATGGTGCTTGGCTCTCTAACGGTTCCTGGATACCCAGTTATTCTCCCATTTCGGCTGGATATTTAGGTTATTATTCAGTATGGATGTTAAAACCAGTTTGTAACTTTG